CTCACAAGGAGCAGAAGAACTGGGTGAGCACACACGATACCTCCTGGCAGTCTCCCAGCAGCCAACCATTTGTGGATCAGAGACTTCCTGTGCCAGACTCCTTTTTATCTATTTAGTCACCCTCAATTAATTTCTCTTTCATGAACCTGTCCAGTTGACCTTTGTACCCATAAAGCACACTATCTGGTTGCTCTAAGTGGATAGACAGGTATCCGTGGTATGTGAGACAGCAGCATTTTACTGCTACTGAAGAGAGGAAACTACAAACCAAGAGCTTTTGCAAGGCTGCCTGCTTAATGCAGCTCGTGATTTCCTCAGCACTGCCCCCCCACCACGCAGGCTACGTGATGGAATCAATGAGGAGAGATAAAGCTGGACATCTCAATGCTACCAGATTTGTAGGGACACAGCCATTAGAAGCCTAGAAACAATTCAGGATTCCAGGGGGTTTTCTGAGGGCTGAACTCAGCCTCTGAAGTATCTTAAAGGAAGCAGGAGTTTGCAGGAGCATCCCTATTTAAAGTGCAATAAAGGTGCCTCTGCAAGATGCATCAGAGGATGACATGAAGAAATCAATTTCTCCAAATCCACAGGGAAGAAACCAGTGACTGAAATCATCAAATAGCAATCTTTAATTAGTGCCTCACTGAAAGCTTGTTGTGATGACACATTAAATGAAGACAGGGAAAGAAATGAAGCAGCATAGAAACAGTTCAGACACGCTACCATGGCTTTGAAGCCAAAGTTCCATCAATTCGCATCACAGCAACATCTCATAAGACAAAAATAAACCCACCAGAACCATCAAAGCAAGTTACTGTCTCTTGGCACTACTGAACTATTCACCCATAACCCTCCTCACTGGTGTGCCAGCAAGAACTCCAGTACTTAAGTCCTACTTGAGCACTGAGAACAGCCTTTAAGTGGCACTGAAGTGAAAAGCAAAGCAACCGTGCAGACCCCTTGGACAGGAGGGAATTCTGCCCTCTCTGCTCAGCATCTGCACCTCTCAGTGGATCACCTTCTGTTACTGTGTGCAGCAGCTAAGAAAAGCACCTTTCCCTCTGGAGGTTTTTTCCATGGTGAAACTGAGGCATCACCCAAGCTAGTCCTCTGATCACAGAGTCGCTATCCCTGTTAAACAGATTCAAAATTAAGGCAAGAAGAAAGTAGAACTTGAAGACTCTAAAAAAAAAAGCCTGGAAGATCTCTGAAGGGAAGCCCACAGGAAGACAGATTCTTGAAGACCTCTATTTTATTCAGTCTGCATTGAGCAACTTTGAGTGTAAACCAGAAATGTACAAACATTATTAAAAATAAAATTAAGAAAAAAAAACACAACAAAAAAAACCACATCAGAGACACTTAACAAGACTCTTCTGAGAATAAAACCATGGAAAATCACCCTGGCATCTTCAGTCTCTTGCCTAGAACACAGGCAGAGAATGCTTTTGCTGCCTGCAAAAGGACAGAGAGGGGGAAAGGTCACAATGTCACCCTTGCTCTGCACCAGTGCACACACTTCATTCTTGATAGGGACGCTTGCGCTGTCTCTCTGATTTACACTCTCCAGAGACTCCTGGAAGGAGTGGAGTCTCTGGAATCCTGTCTGAGCCAGCCCAAGCACTGTAATGATTCCTAGAGTATGTAATCCAGGAATTCCATTCCTTACCATGCCTGCAAAAGCCATGGACAAGCCATGCAGATATTCACACTCTCTAAAAATAGAAATCCTTATGCCTGCAAGCGCATCTCACCACCACATATTAGTTTCTATCACTGGAAGTGTTGAGGAGCACTATGAATCAAACCTGAAATAGGCAGAGAAAATAATGGTTTTTTTTTAAAATGCAAAATGAGATCTTATATGTCCAGCACTGAGAGCTGAGTATACCTAAATCACAAAAAGCTCCATGTTCCCTACTGCTCCCAAGTATAAGCTCCAAGCAGATCCTGTGCTGTGAGCTGTTACTTCCTTCAGGCAACTCCTGCAGGGAAGTTAATTCTGTTTCCAAGTCACATCTTCAGGGCTCTTTTTGCATGTTTGCTGTCAGGCATCCAGCACATCAAGGCAAACATTTGGAATAAAGCCTTGGGTGCAAGCCACATTTGTTGCTAAATAAACAAAGCCAATGCTACAAGAAACAACCATGCTTCAAGGTATAAAGCAACTGGGTTTTTTGGCCAAAGAAACACACAGCCCCTCATTGTACCCCCTATTTGAGAAGATACCTGGGCAAGTGATCCCACTGGTGCCTGAGGCACTGATAAAGGCCAAAGGCTGGGAGCGGCCAGGAGAAGAGATAAGCCATTGGTCTGACCTAGCAAATCACACCCTTTGTTCAGCTCGTTTCCTGGGGATTTGAAACAGCTCTTCCCATTCTCTCTAAACCCAGATAAATAAAGAGTGATGGCTTTAGAGCTTTTCAAGTGACAAGAGCAGGAGGAAAGACAGGCCTATGGTAACAGGCTTTAACGGGGGTGCTATCAGCTGACATAGGGACCCGTGTATCGGCTTATTGAGCAGATTCCTCCCACAAACAGTGACAATAGCTTGTTCCCTCACATGCAACTCCAGTAAAGCTCTAGTATTTCCTATATCCATGTAATTAAAACAAAACCAACCCTACCACAACCAAAAAAAGCCAACATCATCCTGAAAAGGCCAACCTACAGCACAGGACTGGAGGGGAAGAGATTAATTTTCAGTGCTGTAACCCCCTCATGAGTCTTATCTGGTCTCAAGTATCTGATAAGTATCTGACACCCCATTACAATATCCAAGTACTGAAATTTCAGTACAACCCTGAAAAAAAAGGCAATAATAATAATGTTGCAGGCTGCATGGGACAAACACTGTGCAATTAGAGAAGAGCAAAGAGCTGGCTACAACACAGCACTACAACCCTCTCCATGGCACCTCTTCTTACTGGTGCTACACCACCAGAAAAACAGTGGTGCTACTTGAGCATTCTGAAGGAGTGCAGATGGCATAACTGAGCTGCTACATAGTCACAGAAATATTATTTGCACTTTTCCTTCCAGACATTCCCACACTCTCCATCTAAGCTGAACAGAACACCCACAAAAAGGTTTGTGGTTACGGCAAAAGTAAACCCATTATCAAATTTCTCTGACATTGTCCTGGAAGTTTACATTGTAAGAGGAAAATCAAATTTTATGCATCTGATTATGAACACCACACATCTCAAAGTAAACATGACCAGCCTGACTTGGGACTGTCTGGAACAGAAAATGTTCAACAACTGTAGGAAGACACAGGGAGTATTGTAAATAAACTCTAAATTCTATCAGCGAATTTTCACAGTTCTTACTCACTGGAAACAGCACTTGTCTTTAGTTTGGTTCCTTCAAGTTCAGCACTTGTCTGAATAAATGTTTTGTGCACAAATATAGCTGTACTGACAAAAATGGGTGCAATAGTCCATAATTCTCTACAGATGGATAAGGAATTCTCTCTATAATGCTTCTGGACAGTCCCTCTGTGCTATTCAACAGGTGTATCAAATATTCCCAGTTACTCTCTCACAGTCATAATAGCAGAAAAGAAAATTAATGGCAAAAATTTAAATACTACAGTATTTAGTACAGATGAAGTTATTAATAGAATTTGGACAAAAAAATAAAATGTGTTCTGTAAAATTGTGGAAGAAATGAAGTCCACATGTGGACTTCAGACAAAAAGATGTGCGTTTTGCGATTTGATGGTTTTTTTCCTTCTAGGGCTCAAAAATGTCTTTTCACTGTAAAAGTGGTTTCACAACTTTAGGGCAGATCAGTCAAGCAGACAAATACATACATGATGGCCACTAGAATTCCTGGTGGTTTCTACCAGAATATGTATCAGCAAATGGACTCCAAGATTTCAAGACAAATGGATTTGAGTCCCAACAGTGAAAGACTGGTCTGCTCCCAATAAAACACAAAATCCACCTCCTTTCAGAGTTTGACCAGGAACACATTTGAATGAGATCAGTGAAGAAAAGGCATCCCAGTCAGTGTATTTGCCTACTCTGAAAGGCCTGAAACCAACTAGGATCCCAGATTATTCTAGGAAATAGGTATTTTCTCAAAGCACTTTTGTTGATTTAAACAAAATTGTTAATTTTGCTCAACTTTGAGATTCAAGTAAACTAAAAAACTCAGAATTATTCTCAGGTCAAACCCATGAGATCCAAAGAAAAAGAGCTAATTTCACGTAGTTTTGGTACTGAATCATGTGGTAAAGCTGGATTTACAGACTAGTTTTTAGGATAACACGTTTACCCAAAAACTGGATAAACAAAATCTGTGAGGACTTTTTCCACAAGTGCATTTTTAAAGAGTTCATTCCCCAGATGGGGACAACTCCCATCAGCTTGAATAGAAAACTCACCTGCTTATGTTAGGACTGACTTTGTTCTCCAGCACCTGCAAACACAAGGCAGAGGACCAACATCCTCACAGTGAGCTGAAGGTTCATACCTTTGTGGGGTCACTCTTTTTGATGAGGTAGACAGCAGTGGCCAACCAGGATGTGGGCTGGTGTGTTTTCTGAGATATTCAGCAGACACTGAGCCATATTTAAGCAGAAAAAAAGAGCACTCTTTCTGTCCATCTGAAGGACTTGTTTGGAATTACAAAGACATACGGTATTTTTAGAGGCTGAAACAAACTGACTCACACTCACCACTGCCAGTTGAGAATAAGGCACATTTACTGATGTAACCAATGTTCCACTTCAATCTGCTTTCCCATCAAACCTCAACATTTTATTTTAGCTGCAAAAAGGTTTATTAAAACCCAGTAGCCACATGATAATTCTCTCAACTGAGAAATGCAATGCAAGACCCAAAAAAGCCCAAACCTATGCAGCTGTACTCATTTTAAAAATCATTCTAAGCTGCATAGCATTCCACAGAGTTCATCTTTTATTGTGCTGTTTAAACGAAAAAAAAAAACAGTTGTTCCTCTGATTTTTTTATGGTTTTTTTACTCACCCAAAATCAAGGAAGTACGGGGTAATATCTCCAACTACGTCACCAAATTCACATTGTGGATTCCTTTTGCTGTCCTTAACTGTCAGAAAATAATGATTTGTATTTGTCCTACAAATACACCTTCTCCCTCTTCCCCACAAGCTCGGGTTTTCTGTTATATGAGTTAGACACAGCTGACAAGCACATAGCTGCTTACCCACCCATTTCAGCAAGAACTGGAAGTTTAAATCCTGGAGCCTGAGCCGCATGGGGGGTTTAAAACTTGTTAGATGGAAGATGACAAACATGTTGTATTTATCAGTTGGTTGCAAAGATGCTTCTTGCACACAAAGCAAGAATATCTTTGCAAGAAGATACCCAAGATAGGGTATTTTAATTTTCTCTATGTTCTGCTCCCAGCAAAGCAGCTGAGTGAATGACACACCACTTTTCTCCTAGATGACAGCAAACAAAAAGCACAGGAAAAATTTATACTGTAGTGAATCACATGCATATTTTGACTGGTGGAAGCACTGCCAGAGAATGGAAAGAAAGATTAATTTAGTTGGTTTATCCCTTCCTTCGACTTCCACGCAGACTAACACAGTGCCTCCTCACAAAGGCTGCCCACACTCTGGCGTGGCTCCAGGCAGGCACTGGTGTGTGCCGGCTGTGGATCAGACAGCACTTTGTCCTGGCCAGGATGTGGTCTGCCTTTGTAACGAGGCCCATGCAAACGGGCGCCCATCGGCCCCTGCAGCCGGCTCTGGCAAACACCACTTGCCCCTTCACTAGACATAAATGAACTGTAACTACCTCAAAGGAGAACAAACAATACAAGAAAAGAAGGGAAAACATCCAGATTTAACCAGATTAACGATAACGGCTCTCCCGAGGGAAGGCTCCCTGAAGAGGAGAATTCAGGGACTTATTAGCAGCCATTAACCACGTTTCTGGTTTGTGATGTGCCATGCAGTGAAAAGTACAAATCTATGACTTCCCCTGTAGAAGAATTTGGGAGGATTATTAGCTTCACAGCAGACAGACTAGTCACAGCATAAAATGCTGCCCCTAAAAGTTTCATGTTTGTTTTGCATCCCCAGCATCCTGCTATAAAAAAAGTGACAGGAAAAAATATCTGTGCTGGGCTTAGAAGCAAATGCACAGCACCACCACGACCATCACCATTCCTCTGCTGCACTAAATGCTTATTATTCATCTTGAGCCCTTATTTTTGTCATTTTGCTTAAGCCTGGAACACATGGACTTCAGAAAAACTGTTTCTTATCAGAAATTGCTATAGCAATGTTTGTATTAAGAGAAGGAGAACAATGAACAGCAAGGAACTTGGAGTTTTTCCTCACACTTACTTACCTTAGTCCTGCCAGAATGCTGTTAATGCATGATCTTAGGAAGAAAGATCAACAGAGTTTCCGCTGTGTCTCATTTTCAGGGATGCAGGACTCCATTTCTGAAAGCAGAGAGATTAGGGTGACTGAAATCTGAAGTACTGATACTGTGCTGGGAGAATGGGTGCTGACAGCAAGCTCTTAACTCATCAGCAGATGCAGGTCTTGTTGACTGTACTTAAACTCAGTCACAGAAGCAAAAACCCCATGAAAGCAGCAAGAAACAAGAAGCAGCCGGACTGGCCTCTCTCATGATTAACACAAGATAACCACCTCTATCCATCTACAGACTCCATCCCTTTGACTAGGGAAAACACAGTTTCAAGGGACTATTGGACCCAGATATATCATGCTTGGATAGCGGTGCACTTACACCAAATTAAAGCAGAGATGTGTCTCAGCAGGTGCAGATGACACGGAAATAAAAGTCCTCTCAGAACTCTGAGCTGTTCAGAAACTTAAATATCAGTACCCAAGTGTGAAAGACCACAGCTCCTCCACTTTCTTCACAGGTCTCAGGCCCAACATAAAGTATGCAGATAATAAAAAGGAGAATATCTAAGTATGTTGGACCTACCATATTTGCAGCATCCTCAGGCAAACTGATTCCTATTCCATCCTGACCTCAATCACAGAAGACATTTGAGATCACTTCCAGTAAGCCTCTTCACAAAACTTCAAATCAGCAAGGTAATACAACCACCTTTTATGTGCCAAGCAATAAAACAGAAAATAATACACTTTGGGCTATTCCAGAAAAAGAACCCCTGCTGTTTCCAACTGTATTCTTACGGAATACCATCAGTAAGAGCTCCCAACATTAAGCAGAGATAAGTTAGCAAATCTTGTGCCAATAATTTAATCTAATTTCAACCTATGGTCAGGTATTCCTTCTTTGGGAAAACTGAGGACCCTGCATCTTCCCCAATTTTTAAAATGGAGATTCCCCAGCTGCCAGGCACAGACTGACTGTAAACTGCATCCAAACTACACTGACAACATCCATCAACAGGTGTTTGGCACAACCTCTCTGCTCCTGGTTTGGGATAGAGCTTCTCCAACCAGGAATGGGGTCTAGGACACAGCAAAGAGAGGCCCTTCCCTCCAGGTTGCTCAGAATGGGCTCAGTAGTGCTTCTCTTACTGCTCAGTCAATGAATTGGGGTCTCTTCGTGTACCCTTTGCCTCATTGCTTGCACTGCTGCTACAGCTGAGGGTCAAGTCAGAAGCAGATCCAGCAAAGTCTAACATTATTCAAGGGCGCTCTGAATTGGTGCACTAAGAACCGTCGTGACAGAACATCCAGCCAAACCTCTTTTTCTTTTTAATCTCAGTTATATCAACACCGGGGTCACACAATATACTAAAATAGTGTTCCAGAAAAAAAATTATCTTTGGGGTTTATAAATCTTACTTACACACTCACAAATCAGCCGTGCCTTTCTACAAAGACTCCAATTTGGCAATAACACTTGACTGTGTTATTGCACAGTCTCCAGCAACTTCTTACTTCTCATTCTCTTTCAAATGTTTTTGTCTCCCTGGAGCACCACCCCCTTCCCCAGCCAGTTCCACTCTGCTCCTAATGGAGATAGGGTTAAATTTACAAAGTGTTTTTATCCTAATTACAAGCCATTCAGCTAGTACCTTGGTCACAGCCTCAGCAGGAAATGATATGCAAAGTATACTTTCATGCATCTGACAGCCCCCAAAACTACCGGTCATATAAATTCTGCCAATTTACTCTAATTAAAGCTAAGCAGTGTCGTGTGTGCTTAAACGGTCAATCTGTCTTGAAGTAATTACACCTGAAAGCAGGAATACATCAGTTTCCTTCTCCTGGAATTAAACTCAGATGGGGCAGCTGAGAAACAGTCAAGGGACATTTGCTAATGATTAAATCCAAATCACATCTCCTTGCAGTGCTCTTACCAAGTACAAGCTGTTGCATGGATGCTGATGGATTTGTGGAGGAAGGAAGCAGATGGTACAAGGCACTTGTCAACACAGCACTGCCTACACAAGACTCTCTCTCACACCCAGTGCTGCAGAGGCTCGTGCTCCGAAGCAGTGCAGTAGGGAGCAAAATGAGATTCTGGGAGAATGTAAAAAACATACTATGCTTGCAATCACAAGAGCCAGCAGGCAGAGCTCCTGGTGTGCTGGAGAACTCCCACCTTCCACATTGCCATGTCAAAGATGTCTCTCGTCTCTTGATGGTCCTTTAGAGAAGACCAAAGATGACTTTCTAGAAATAGCAACAATATTGACTCAGTTAGGAAAAGATGAAGAGGCTGCATTGCTCCATCCAAATCCTCCCTCCTGCTCTCGTGTACAGAGCAAGGAGCACAGAAGGCAGAGAAGGAAAGACAAAAAAAGAAATCATTAACCACTAACCACACTTACACAACCATATTTTGCCATGCCACTCAACAGCAGCACATAACTCCAAATTCCCATAACTCCTGACACAGTACTCAAAGACTGTTAGTCAGAGGGATGCTTACTTTGGCCCCCTAGGAGCTGACAAATTCCGCTTTATCTCCCTGGGATCTGATGAGCCCATCCTGTCACACGGGAAGACGAGTATGAATGACAACGCAATGAGTAACTTCTTAAACAGGCAAAAAAAAAATCTGAGTTGAATATTCTGCTTGGATTCTCATCCTTTGCTGGTTCACTGACATGTGCTAAGTTTCCCAAAAGGAGAAGGACATACCACTAAGAAGACAAGCAGGAACCAAGTTTACCACTGTTCAGGAGATAATGTCATCAACATATAAAAGCTTACATAGATGCATCACTAAAAGATTAACCTAAATCCATGTTCAGCCTCCAAAACCATAGTTTAAAAAATGCAATAAACTATGAAAGGACAAGCCAAGGACCTGTGCAGCTCTTTAAGCTATCTATGATTTGTCCATCCTCAAAACAAACTAAAACAGCAATTTTTTGTCAAGTTTATACTTGCACTCCTTTTACAAGAAGTGAAACTATGTCCCCTCCCATTATCCCATTAATCACCTCCCTTATTTAAACACAATGGTTTTATTCGGGTTAGATTAAAATATTCTGAAGGATACCTATTAGGAATCAGAATTCTTTATTCCTTAATTACAATACAATCCAGACATACTCATCAGAACAGGCCAGTTCTTTCTATCCCTCTGAACTGGGACCTTTCCAAAATACCAGAAACAGATCTCTTCTGGTGTACCTAAAATAATCTACCAGTACTTACCTAGAAATATTCTGGGTTTTCAAAATGCAAGCATAAACATGGCAGAAATCACTCTGTGACTGAATGTCATCATTTGTGTTTTGTTAAAATATTCCAGAAGATTAACCTGCTAAAACACCTGGGGTGAAGGGGTTGCCTTTAAAAGCTGCTTTGGCATTAAAAAGCGTGCAGTATTGGGCACAGAAGAGAAAGGAAAAGACAAAAACAAAGAACACAGTTTTCCATTATCAGAACAAGGCAAAGCAGGATCAGCTGCTTTTTGAAGATAATTTGTTGTTGTGAGAGACCTCACATAGTCCCCAAGGCTGCATTTCCCATTCCAGTCTCGCCGTGGAGTATTGGTTGCAGCAGGACTGTTAATCACAGCTAATTGTGAGGACAGCACTGTGGCAGGAACAACTGTCCCCAACGAAGCCAGCTGAACCAGTAACTTCATTTTAGCTTCCTTAAGGGCTTTGGATGTTATTGATTTCAGGTCACTGGCAGGGGTGGGTAGATAAGTGCCTGCCCCAGTACTGCAGAATGTTAGGACAGTAAACTTATTGTCTTGCTTTAGCCCAGCTAACAACAGAATAAACTAACTTTTACCATTAAACTTGAACCAGATAGCCTAATCCAAGTGTAAGGCTTCTCAGCCACAGCTGTCTTGCCCTTTAAAAAAAGGAAAGGAAAAAAAGCCAAGTAAATATTCTCTATGGAGACATTTAAGATTCCCTTCCTTCCCCCCAGGAGCAGTAATGTATGTATCTTCATCTTTTGGACTTTTTCCAAAGTGCTTAACTTTGGAATTTACATATTATGCTTGCCACAGCAAGTGTCTCTTTAGACTAACGCTCCTCTCCCATACAGGTCTAAATTCTGTCACTCCTTTTCCCCAGAGCTTGCAGTAATGAGTGGACAGCTTCTCTGCAGAAATTGTGGTCTGTCAGAAAAAACAAAGCAGAGGAAGTATGTATCATTTGGCTGTCTCCTTAATTTTAGTGTAACAATTCCATTTTTAGGTACAGAGAGTCCATAATAGAATGGGCATATCCGAGTTTAGCACACAAAGCTCTAAATAAGACTGCTGCTTTACAAAACCACAGCGCAGAATGGCAATTGTTTCTAGCGTGGTAACCGCAGTGATTGAGAGATGCCCAAAGTAACTTGTTTTTTAAAGGGGAAAACTTCAGTGTGTGGTGGCAAGCTCTGAAACCACCGATATAAATGGATTAGGCCGTGAGCACAGCAAACAATAGTCCCATTACTTTGGCTTAGGTCTGTTTTCACAGAGCTAGAGAGTACTTAAAAAAAAATCTCCTTGGTCTTTCCAATATCACTGGAGGGCTGGGCTGGGACAGAGACGCTTTCTGCAGGCGCAGCACCAGGATGTGCTAATATTATCAAGCCTTTTGCTTTGTTGTCGTGCTATTCTTACTTAGCTACTAATGCTCCATGAATGCATGACTGCTCTTTCCAGTCCACATAACAGCTATATTACTGGAGGTTCCAGCCTGTTGTTTTTCTTCGAAGCTAGGCTTCAGCCTTGGTTAATGTTTGCCCAGAAATATGTAATTGCGGACTTCCTCCTCATAAACCGTTCCAGAGCACAGGCTGCCATCCTTCCATGTTATTATTATCTGTGTGCCTGCAGGCTAGAGCAGGGTGTGCTCTCACATTTGAGAGGAGAGATAACCCTTTCCTTGCAGGAAAGGCACTCAATGCCTTGGACTGAGGCAGATCCTACTAAAAAGAGGTGATCTGAAAGCTTTACTGGTGTTATTTTCTGCCCTCGGATTACAGAATAAAAATACTTTTAGCACAGGTCTAGTAGGTCACAAATAAGTGTAAGGAAAGCTGAGTATCGAGTCATAGAATAATCTGGGTTGGAACTGGCCTTAATGGTCATTTAGTTCCAACCCCTCAGCCAGGGGCAAGGACAACTTCACTATCCCAGGCTGCTCCATACCCCATCCAGCCTGGCCTTGGCCTGGGAAACCTGTGCCAGTGCCTCACCACCCTCACAATAAATGGGCCTTTTAAGCCATTTAATTCACAGCACTGCATATACTTATTTGTGCTTCTTATTTTTTTATTTCTGATTATCCATGCATTTTTTTAAAAAATCCAAGTTAAAAAATACATCCTTATTTTCTATATTTTCCCCCTATCATTAAATACTGTCACCAACAGAAGGAAATAAAGAAGCCTAGAGTAATTTTTGTATAAAACTCGGATTTCAAACAGACAGTGGGATATTAGCATAAGCCTTTTCTGGAGAAACAATCAGCAAACTGAACACACTTCTCTTAATTTTGGGCACAGGTCTTCAGTGCCAGAAATGCAGCATCAGCAAGGACAGCAAAGCCCCAAGAACTAGCAGAAGGTAGGTAATGTTCAGGATTTACAGTGGTAAACATGCCCCTGTAAAGAAAGCTGCCTGATTCTTGAGCTACTGAAATAGGTTCAGGAATCTCTCTTCTCCTAGGAATTGCCTACATCTTCCATGGATACCATGAAGAATCAAGAAACTCAACTCAAGAAACATGAGAAATTAAACAGCTGAAATCTCTTCAGATGCTCTGTAGGCAACAGGTCTTCTAAGGTCTTGCCCAGATCCTTGCTGGAGATAGCCTGGCGTGCTTTCCAATCTCAGCATTCCCTCTCTGCCCTCAAACCACCCAGATTCGGGACCTGTCAGAGTATGTTAAAGCTCACATCCAGTCTGTTCGCCTGAATTGCCTCTAAGGAGAAACAAGGGTAAAGTGGAAGCCAATTTAAGCCCAGAATCTCACCCTGATATAGATTCAGGGTATGTCTGGCACATGTACCTAGTCCAGGAATTGGGAAGACCTCCTGGGTCAAGTAATCAGGCGTAGTCTAAGGAGTTCACTGTCCTTGAGTACACAGATCACAGGAAACAGGGTGGATCAGGCAGAACCTGCACACTAAACTAAACAAACCCATGTCCAGCTCCTCTGCTCAGAAAGATTAGTGAATATCTGGAGTGCAGTGAACTAAAGCAGTACCTCAGGTGGAGGAGTAATACAGTGAAAAGCCCTCACTTCCTCCCAGATTTAAATTCTTTGACAAGAGCAACAGCTGGAAAAAGTTTAGCCATCACTTAAACCAAGAGGTATCTTTATTTCTGACAACTGCTGGGTTTGAAACATGATGTTTTTAGTAGCTTTCAGATGCCTCTTCTTCCTGAGCTCACTACAAACTGTGTGACAGTTTAGAGAAGGGCTGTGTTCCACATAAAAATGAGATACAGCAGAAAGATATTTTAAAACAGAACAGAGAAGTAGTGACAGCATAGAGAACAGACTTACAGCTACTAGGTTATTTTTGGAAGGAAAGGGCTAAGCAAGTCTCAGGATAACAAGACATAGCTCCAAAGACACTGAGGATGGCCTCTCACAGAGACATTACTGAAGGGCCACGAGTTTACTCTCAAGCCAATTGCAATTTGCCATGCAAGGGCAACCTAGTCAGGCTGAAAGAACACATAGAGTGGAAATTATCTTCTGAATCAGCAGTAGCTTTCCATGACTGACAGACCCACTATCAGCTCAGACTGACCCACATGACAGTCATCCACACGTCTTCGTTACAGCCTGCCCTAAGACATCCCCCTATAAACAGGAGTACATGGTTTAGCAAAATACTCAAAAAAGGTCAATAGGAGTTTGCTTCAGTAAGAAGCCATTCAAAACTGGAAGATGAGATACAGGACTGGGCCCTGGCAATCACAACATTAAAAAGCAACTAGAGTAGGATAATTTTTGAGCATGAATTCCAACAAAGCCAGCTTGTTGCTAGAAGGTTGTTCAGCTACTGAAGACTTGTCCTTGGATTCCTGCTGAAATCAATCCATAAAAATCATATTAAAGGATTAGGCATCAAGCATTTGTGTGTTGATGTGCATAAGAAATTCTTCACTCACAGACTGCTGACCTCACATTCTTAAGAGGATCTTTTGCCCCATAATAAAGTGTTCACTGTCAACAGTAATTCTTGCGCTTCATGCATCTGTTGACAAAGTCTGAACAGAAAGCTTTTCTGCAGGTAAAAAGTTTAAATGCTGTGCTTCCACAGGGCCTTTGTCCAAAGCATGATGTAGGATTTTGACATTTTGGCAAATGGCAGTGGTGGTATTTATGCTGCAAGTGAACTCTGAAACAAAGAGATGCCACACATTTACTTCAAAAGTTTGATGGCTCAGGAATTAAACAGCTCTCCTTGAATATCTGTCCTTCTGTTATCATCTGTATTCTTTAGGCACAGACACACTTCTAATAAAATTATGCAGAATAACTCATAAGCACTCAAGAGTGCTTATATTATGTCAACAATCCTCGCTTGTTGAATTAATAAATTTAGCTTGCACACGTTTTTATAAAGATGCACCATTTCAGGTCTCTGCAACACGGCACAAAGCACTGAAATCATCACCGTGCATAATCCATGCACAGCACTGAAGGGCCAAAATTACATGCCCAACATAAGCCACCTGTGTTAGTAGGGAGCTCCAAGCAAAGAGATTAAATAGAGGACCAGAAAAAACATGTTCTACAATTGCCTGACCAATTCCCAACTGCGTAAACCCAGGGAAGAACCGGGCACAGAGCTGACCCACAACTGCCTTGTAGGCTGCAGCTACTTGGCCAAAGGAGGAACGAATCAAATTCTCTCACTGCAGACAGGACTGCACTCTCTGCCTTCTTTCTCTCTCTCTCTCTCTCTCTCTCTCTCCAGGAGTACTGGTGGTCTGGCAGGATTGAAATCCCTGCAGATACACATGAGGCAGGCAAGGTCTGCCATGGTCCCTCGCTCTCCCACTGTCTTCCATGGGGACAAGGTATCTGATGTATTTTATCTTCCCTGTCCCCGGCTGTCTGCTTAAAAAATAAATCTCTACTCTGATTTCTTATTGCTGGCACCTCCAGATGTGTCTTTGCTCAGGAAAGTTGCATCAGTTCACGCTAAAGCTCTCTGCAGATGTGCATCGTTTTGCATGCCAAAGATCTGCTTTCTGCCTGCACTTAAACTAAACTTAAACTCAGCTACAGAAGTTACATCCATTGAATTGGAACTGGTGTTAGGAAAGGCCAACTTAACACAACTTGCCAGCTAGAAATTCTATCTCCAGCCCTCTGCAGATAATTTCCTAGCCAGCCCCTTGTGAAAAAGTTCTGCTCAATGGTAATTGAATTTACTGCAAGAAGATGGAAACAACAAATACAGGAATATAACAGTGCTTCATATATTTGGGTAAAATGGAGTGCTTGTGGCTTCCCCAGCTCCACAGCTTGCCCTGTTATACCTCATCTATCAGTCCCAGAAGTATCTTTTACTATTCACAGAATAGTTTACATTGGAAAGGACTCCTGGGAGGTCATCTAATCCAACTCCCAGCTCTGAGCAGGTCCAGTTGGATCAGGTTGCTCAGGGACTTGTCCAGGAAATAAGAGATTCAGTATTAAAGCACTGGGGAAACCATGAAACTTTTCAAGGAAATCACATAGAAAAGTAATTAAAGTTAACATATGGAGCCTAAAGAGAGAGGCCCCAAGTTAGACTCCAGTTCCTAGATCCCACTCCTACCTGAACCACAGGTGATGAAACCAAGAGCTTTCTGTTCTGCACATAGAGTTAAGAGATTGAGGAAAGATAACAATCACAACTACCTCTGCATGGCACAGCGTGGTCTCACCAACAACTGCTTTTGCCTTTTGGGAAATGTGTTTTTAGGACAGCTGTCCTATAAGTAGAGAGATCAGGTCCTAGCCTGATGCAAAACAGCGCTTACCAGCTGACACCAACTGGGAAACTGCCTCACTATTTAATTCTGTCAAGAAAATTCTCCATAAGGAAACCTTGCATCTTCTGTTGAAATGCAAGCAACAAGCAGATTCTACCAGACACCCCTTGGTTCGTTTTGAAGCACTGCTAGCACATACATTGGAGTCTTATTCAAAAACAAAGGACAAAATACAGGGTAACAAGCGATCAGTCACGTCTGACACGCACACTGTTTCCACAGAATTACTCATCTCTGTGAGGTCTGATACATGTTAAAGGATTTTTCCTAATTCACACACAGATGCCTTGTAAATAAATGGCAACTATTTATATGACTAAATAGTTACTTCGTAGGTATTTTGACAGAGGTGCTCATGGAGTTTCCAATAATGCCATCCTCAAAACATAAACTGCGCACTTCCCCTCCTTTCACTTGTTTTTCAGGAAATCATATTTTCAGACTTCCTGTGGCTGACACAGCCTGTGTAGGTCAGGCTGTGCTGTATCACATCCCACAGCATGTGGCAGAGTGTGAGCTTCCCACGGTGATGCTCCACAATGCAGCAGGTGAGAGAGTCAGACTGGGAAATGCAGACCAGCTTTGATTTGTTTCAGTTTTTTCATTCCTGGCATGACCTACAGTTAAACAAACTGGCTGCCAAGGGAAATAGGAAAGGGATGCTCTGAGCTTAACTGTGTGGTTAGCACATTACATCTTTCTAGGAGTTAACCTACAAAGTTAAATCCAAATGATGGATTTGGGCATCTCTCTCTCTGGTAGCACCATCTGCTTTCACACCCTGACCTAGCTAATCCTAATCCTGCAGGGCTTCTAGATTTTCATCAGCAGATAAATTCAGAATTTGATTCCTAGGACATTGCTTTTCCCAGCTCCTTTTTTTTTTTTTTTTTTTTTTTTTTTTTTTTTAATTTTGATGGGATTTTCAGGCTAACTTTTCTGCCTACTGCAGTTGCAAGCCTCGCTCCAAGAAAATGCACTGGCTGTGATCACAGAATAAGATCTAGCCCGAGAAATCTTTCAGAAAGGCTTCTTGGCAGCAGGTAGGGAATGCAGGCATCCCCAGCATAGCCAACAGCTGTTTTCCTACAGTTCCCATATCCCCAGAGACTGGCGGTAGGGGAAGAAAAGTGCATACAGCAGGACAAGAGAAGAAAGATGAGGTGAGAAAATAATACTCCAAATGTTCACTGGAGCAAGGAGCTGGTGTCCCCCTCCAGACAGCTCAGTGTCCTAGACACCACATCACTCTATTATCTCTTTAGCTTCCCTAATGCTTCACTATGAACAGTACAACAATCTCCAAAAGAACAAACTATAAGCCAACACCTCCCCACGTTTCTGACTCTGTAAGCAACCCTGCAATCTAATCTGTTCATCCTCCTTTAACAGTCAAAGCCGATCCATTACCATGCAAATGCAAAACTAAGCAATCCTTTTATTGCAAATAATTTTAGCAGAACCATACAGCTGATAGATTCATTCCATTATTAGCAACAGCTTGGGATTGTGAACTAATCAATATCCCAGGGCGCTGAGGGGGGAGACAGCAAATCTAATCAAGACCCCACAGAACTTACACCTAGAATCCTAATTTACAGCTAAAAGCCTTGAGAATAGCAATTTGCAATTAAAAGCTGTGATTTCTGACAGCCATTTTTCTACCTTTCAGTCAACAACAATATATCACATTATACACATAATCAAATTATGTTCTTACTGCTCTACAGATC